GTGTGTGTGTGTGTGTGTGTGTGTGTGTGTGTGTGTGTGTGTGTGTGTGTGTGTGTGCGTGTGTATATGTGTGTGTGTGCTATGTTTGCTGAATACATTGGAAATTAAAATCAACTCGAGGCGCTCGCACAAATATTGATACATTCTAATGGATTTCACATACAAGCAAACACACACACGCACACACACGCACACACACACACACACACACACACACACACAGTCAGTAGAAAGATCGAACGAAAGAGGCTGGCGAAAAAGCAGAGAAGAAGTTTTTATCGTAGTTAGGCAGCTGCGCCATCAGAATCGTCCTTGCGAATGGCTAACAAACATTTGCCAAAATTCACTTGGCTTCGTATCTTTTATTTATGTTATTTATCGCAGCTGTCGCTGCCGCTCCCGCTGCTGTTGCCGTTGGCTCCTTAAAGCCTTTAAGTCCCTGGCCCATACGTTTTGGGCGTCTCTGTGTTTTTTTTATTGCCGGCGTTGATTTGTCGCTGGCATTTGTTTATCGACTCACCGACTGACTGTCTGAGTGACTGACTGACTGACGGATTGGCTGATGGGCCAACTGATGGGCAAATGTGGTGCCATAAGCCTTCATTATCGCCAGCGGCGCACGCAGGGCAAAAGTTAAGAGCGCGCTTTAATTTCAAGCACTTTAATTGCCGAGCAAATGGACGACTAATCACTGAAAGCCCAACAAAGGCGCGCAGCGGCAGACGGAAGCGGGAATTCAGTAGAGCCCCAAGGCAGAGAGAGGGTGGGAGAGGGAGAGGGAGAGCTGTTCTATACCCCAGAGTCTTTGGCAACATTGTGTATAACTGTAAAACTTGCAACAAAGTGCCAGCTGGGCGTCGACAAACACACACACGGACACACACGCACGTACACACACATACGTGCGATGCAGATGAGCTGCGCATTATATGAGTATGCATAAAGGGGCAAAAGTTACTCGTGCGCTGGCAACTGCATTTGCGGTAAGCCATGACGGCGTCATGGTCGTTGCTCCTGCCACAGCCGTCTCCTGCTAGCGACCAACTTGCGTTCAAATTGTTGTTGTTGTTGTTGCTGTTGCTGTTGTTGCTGTTGTTGTTGTCTCCTTTTTCTCGTCGCCATTTCATTTGTTCTTGTGCATTTAAGCGAGCGAACGGCCGCCATTTCGTAGCATCACTTAAGCATATGCTACATGTGTGTGTGTGTGTGTGCTAAGCGGTTTGCATTGTTATGCAATCTATTGTTGTTGTTGCCTTTTAATATCTGTAAGTACGGCACTTCCTTAGGCAACAAAAAGCATTGCGAAAAAAAAGTTGCTATAAAATTTAATTATTTGACATGCGCTAAGCCAAGCAGATTATCTTGGCGAAGACATTAAAAACTTTCTAATACAAGTATATGTATAAAGTGAGAGAGAGAGAGAGTGAGAGAGAGGGAGAGAGAGAGAGAGAGAGAATGAGAGAGTTTTATATGTATTTCCATGCACTTTAAGCAACAATGTTGCTCAATTTTCTGCAAGCTTTGAATTGCTATTGAATGTTTTCTCTTTCTGTTTTTCTAAGGCGAGCTATGTACGTGTGTAAACGTTTTCCATTTCCCATTTGTTGTAGCTGTTTATATTGTTGCTGCTCCTTTTATGGGCCCTTACATTTGCGTAATAGACTTTGTAGCCGCCGCTGGGCTCGAATTCGATTGTCTTAGCGCTCGAGCTCTTTTCGCTGCTGCAAATGGCATCTAAATGCAACTAGACGTGTGTGTATGCTGTGTGTGTGTGTGTATGTGTGTGTCAGTGATTGTGGGTGGCTGCTGTGGTTGCTTAGATGCACACGCGGCTTTTTTGGTTGTGTCATTGACTTCTTGAATGTGTGAGTGTTCGAAATTGTTGAGAAGCGCCCGAAAACCAATTCATTATCTTTCACTTTGGAACTTACCCTGAATACGCGCGCACACACACACACACACCCGCACACAACCACACAATGGCACTCAACCTAGCAAGAGCCAAAGAGCAATGCACAAAACACACACTCATACACACTCACACACACTCAGACGCACACACTCGCACAGCGCACTTGAAGCACGTCGCTGCTTGACTTTATTTTCGACTCGCACTACCAAGCCACGCCCTCGCCGATTTTAAAGGTTTTTCTATGCCAGCATTGTCTATGGAGCGAGCTGCGACTCGGCTCCGACTTGCACTTAACACAATTTCGAGGCGCACACAAAAGACTTTCACTGCGGCACAGCAGCCACCAATACGGCCAGCACACTCACCCACCCAGAAGCACACACCCATACACACACACACACACCCACCAGCGAGCCGCCCAACCACCCCAAGGGACGAGACGAAGTTGATTTTGTTTTTTACTTTATATTATCGTGGCAACGTATTACGCGTCGCTTTTGTTGCGCCATCAAAGCGTGTGTGCGGGTGTGTGGAACGAGCGCGTGCAACGCCTCGGGCGGCGCCACGTGGCATAAATTAATCTTCTCACTAAATTTGCCAACATATCTCTCTTCCATCTCCCCCCCTGTTTCCCCAACGCATTTGCATTCCGGCTTTGCTTTGAGCAGCTATTTGGACCCGGCGGCGCCAAGCTGGAGGACGACTATGATGATCCGCCCGTCACACTGTTGCGTGGCCCACCCGGACCACCGGGCGCCGCGGGCAAGGACGGCCGCGACGGACGTGATGGCAGCAAGGGTGAGCCCGGAGAGCCAGGTGAGCCGGGCTCCCTGGGCCCACGTGGCCTGGACGGCCTACCGGGTGAGCCGGGCATTGAGGGCCCACCTGGCCTGCCCGGCTACCAGGGACCGCCCGGCGAGAAGGGCGATCGCGGCGATATTGGTCCACCTGGTCTGATGGGACCACCTGGCCTGCCCGGACCACCAGGCTATCCAGGCGTCAAGGGCGACAAGGGTGACCGTGGCGATTCGGTAAGTTACAAACAATCGATAGTCGTTATCGATATGTATTAATCGACTACGTTTCAGTACCGCAAAATGCGACGCAGGCAGGACGATGGCATGTCCGATGCCCCGCACATGCCGGCAATTGAATATGTGAGTAGCTGCCTCCTCGAGTCTCTAAGGCGAAATCCTCAACATGCATATTTCCCACAGCTTTACGGACCACCTGGTCCTCCCGGTCCCATGGGCCCGCCCGGACACACTGGCCCACAGGGCGAGCGCGGCCTGGACGGACGCAAGGGCGATCCTGTAAGTATATAATATGCCTTTGGTGCAACTGTAATATCTAATATACGTTATCCACGGCACAGGGCGAGAAGGGACACAAGGGCGATCAAGGACCCATGGGCTTACCCGTAAGTATTCTGCATTGCATTCTTCAAAACTCCAGCTCTTATGTTTGTCCATTCATTTTTAGGGCCCAATGGGCATGCGTGGCGAATCGGGACCCTCCGGTCCGGCGGGCAAGGCTGGCATTCCGGTAAGCGACAGTTTAATGAATCCTTTAACATGAGCTCTTTTCATTGGCGTACTAAAAATTTAATGTTTGGCCTTTATGTTGCTACAAAATTTGTTGTTGATCATCTTGGTTTGGTAATTTTTGTGTTGTAAGCTTTTGCTGTGACTAAGGCATACTCTAACAATCTCTTATGTGTTCTTTATGTCTCTCTCTCTCTCTTTCTTTCTTTCATCAACCTGGAACAGGTGTGGGGCGACTACTAATACAACTTACTCAAAAGTGCAGTCTAAATAGAAATAACAAACTTAATGCGCCTACTCTCAAAATGCGATACTCACACAAACAAACACACACATAAACTCACACACATACACACGCACACACCAGCGCACGGGAGGCGACATAATAATACGCTGAATTCTAAGGAAGAAATTATATATGAAAAAAAGAAGAAGAAAAAAAAAAACAGATTTATAAATTATGCATAGAAAATGTTAGCGCTCTGACAAACCGCTCCGTTTGAATGTCAATATTATATATATATATATATAGTCAGTCAGTCATGTAGCTCTGTGTATATGTATGTACATACCAACTGCCCATGTACATAAATACATGTGAAACCCAGTACGAAATATCAGCCGCATGCCAGCTCCAACGACAGGAGATCGCATGCCAAACAATTAAATTAATGCAAATGAATATTCATAGATGAACAATACTCATATCAAACATGAAACATAACAAAGCAGCAGGCCACACAAATATTTATGTATACAAAGAAAATAGTTGTTGCTATAGAGTCGGGCGATCCAACATATTTACAAATATCAATGGAATTAACCAAGCAAATTGAGTATTTAAGTATGGTGTATATACATATACATATATAAGAAATATATGCGAGATGGGGCAAACGTAGAACTCGGCAAACAACTAAAGCCAACAACCTGCTAACAAATGTGCAATGCAAATATTTTAATTGCATTTCATTTAAAGCTGAGCTGTTCGCATTAGCGTGTACATTTAATACAAAGCCAACAATAGCAGCAGTAGCAGCAGCAGCAACAGCAGCAGCAGCAGCAACTGTTGCATAAATCATACGCACCGTGGTACAGGAAAGCAGCGCAACATAAACTCTGACTGCAGACTGACTGCAATAGCGTGATTTAATCTGCTTGTAGCTCTCTCGATTGATCAATAAAATTCATAGTCGACATCAATTTTGAGTGCTACTCCTGCTGCTCCTGCTGCTGCTGCTGCTGTTGCATTGTTGTATTGTCTTAGGTGCCGTCCAGAGGCTTTGTCGTGTATTCAATTTATTGGGTGGCCAAAGCTTCAACGCTTGACAGCAACAGAAACAGAAACAGTGGGAAGACAGAAAATAATTCAGATACTCGAACTACACACAAATTTTGAATAACATAAGTGAAAACTGTAAAAAATAAGAAATTCTATATAAATCTTTGTAATTCGACTCAGTGTTTGCATATAGAATATCGTGTTTAAATATGTGTGTTTATGTCTACAAAACAAAGCATAGCATAGCATATATATATATGTATGTGTGTGTATTAAGCACAACAATAACAAATTAAAAATTAAAAATAAAATCAAATAAAATACACATAAATAATTGTAATATCATGCGACAACAACAAAGAGCTATCTTCCAATTGTGCATATTTTCAGTGTTAAATGTAACTTCAATACAAAACGCGTTGAAATTAGCTAGGCTAAAACTTAAATATACCTACTCTATATATAAATCATATATATATATATATATATATATATATATATATATATATATATATTTGAAATGGGAATATGTGTACACAATAAAGCATTTGCAGTGGCATCGGCCGGGCCGGTGAACGACAGAGCGGCCTCAGAATGATAACCCACACCCAAATACTATCCCATTGAATGCCGTTTCGAGTGCATTCGGATTCGTGCTCAGCCATTGAGTATATCATCATTAACAATTAACTTATCTCATATATCCTATTGGTTTCATTGAACATCTCAAATAAATTAATGCAAAAACTACCTTTCAATCTCGACGAACACACAAACACACACAAATGAAAGGCAAAAAATCAGAAACAATTTACATTTTATAAATAATATACGAGCATGCGATATCAGCTAAAAAACTACAGTCAATGAATACAAAATGAAATGATAATAAAAGCAAAGTGGAATACGTTGAGCTATAAAACAAAATGCGATGCATTTGCACAAAATTTTAAATAAAATACAAAAAAAATATGAATTTTCTGATTTATATGCATATTATGAATAGAAATTTCAAATGAATATTTATATGTCAATTTGTTTGCAATTAAGTGTAATACAAAATTAAAAAAAAAATCAAAAATTAAAGAAGAATTTCGCATGTCAATTTTGATTTGGCCAACCTGAAGGTGTACATAAGAAAACTGAACGAAATGTCAACTAAAGATAAGATACGATATTTAATTAACTAACTTTGGCTAACTTAACCATAGTTCTATAATTGCGACTTTCACTCTCTTAACTCTACTCGACTTTGACCTCTTTGATCCTCTAAATCTTTTTCCAACTAACCAAAATACACTATATCTAATATCCATAGGCTAGAATAATGAATTGTGTTGGTCTAACGGCAATGCGAGCGCATCACATCCAACTTGAGCATTATATAATATAATTTTAACTTAAATTTAACTTTAAATTTTACAAATTACAAATTTATATTGTCCAACTTAAATTTGAGTATTAACTTCATAAGCTGCTAACGGTAATTATAAGTGTACATTTGTTAATTACGTACTAAAAAAGAAATGGAAAAAGAAAAAAAAAACTCGAAAACCAATTATTGCAATTAAATAACAAATAACAAATAAATATGTCTGCATATGTATACATATATCTATATATTTGAGTGTATTAATGTCTATATATACATAGAGGGTATATATATGTATATGTATGTGTATGTATGTATGCATGTCTGCCAATACATAACGCATGCATAACGCGCATCGCGCTAATCCGAACAAAGGGCAGCCCCTTGACGAGGCGGCAGCAACAAATTGTAAAGCGGCTAATGAAATCAATATAATTTTCATCTTAATTCTGCATTTTCAATAAAGTGATGGTTTTTTACTAAAAAACAAAATACAATGAACTTTGACTAATTTGTGAATACGACGACGATTAATTAATTAAAGGCGAAACAAACAGCCAAAATTGACTTAAGATTTTCGTGTTTCACTCAAGCAATTGTTAACGCTTTATATTCTCTCTCTCTCTCTATTTCTCTGGCCCTCCCATTCTGTGCTATGCTTACAGGGTCCGCCTGGCTTGGATGGCATGAAGGTACACTAACTGGCTTCCCTTAGATTTTTGGCCTTGTCTAACTGAAATCTTTGTTTTCACACAGGGCGCTCAGGGCGAGACGGGACACAAGGGCGAGCGCGGTGATCCAGGATTGCCGGTAAGTACAGCTGCACACACACACCCACACACACACACACACGCACACACAATTTTCTGATTATATGTAGTACATATGTATCTATACACTCATACACACACACACACACATGTGTTTTATCTACCTTATGTGGTTGCTAATTTGAATAATATCTGTTTCTTCTTTTTATTATGTTTTTTTTTTATCTTGTCTGCATGCAATTCTGTCTCTTTGTTGGCGTCGTACGCTGTCTTCAATCTATGCAAAAACCTTCCACACACGTATCAACCTTTTTGACCCACACACACACACACATATATATACTCAATCACGTAAACAAACAAACACACACACACGTACATACGACAATAAAGGGCACCGACGGCATACCCGGACAGGAGGGCCCGCGTGGCGAGCAGGGCTCACGCGGCGATGCTGGGCCGCCGGGTAAGCGCGGACGGAAAGGAGATCGCGGCGACAAGGGCGAGCAGGGCGTGCCCGGACTGGATGCGCCCTGTCCGCTGGGCGTCGACGGACTGCCGTTGCCTGGCTGCGGCTGGCGTCCGCCAAAGGTTAGCATGCGTTTGAACAACCCAAAATATTTCACTTTCTAATTGGCTAAACTAAAACGTGGAACTTTGCATGCGCCACTGCCCACTTATGCTTCGTATTTGGCTTTGTTTTTGTTGTTGTTGTTGTTGTGACTAACTCGTTTAACTAACTTTTGCCTTTGCACACTAATACGGACACACGCATACGCACACGCACGCACACACACATCCACCGAACGAACATATGTGCAAACATAACGGCACAGGAGCCTATCGTCTCAACGCCCATGCACAAGGATTACTTGCCGGATGTGACGCAGCCGGAGAGCAATGCCAGCGACTACGAGCAGGAGGACGAGGACGAGGAGGACCAGCCGGAGGATAATGAAAACGAATATGATGAATATCAGGAGCATTTGCATAACAATGACTAAAACGGAAACAGCCAAGCCCAAAAGCGACAAAGGGCAAACACAAACACAAATGCAAACACAAACACAAACGCAGACACTGAAACATAACCAAAGCAAATAGATCCTTAAACACACCCGTACCCACACACAAACACACACAGACACACACACACACACGCACTCACACACATACAGTTAGACATATACGCACTAGCGACTAGTTAAGCATTTCCGATTTCCGCAGCTGACTTGGCTCCGTTTCGCTCACTGTTGACACATGCAATTAGCGCTAACCGATGCAGAGCGGCTGCTACCCCTAATGGCTAACTGTAGTTGATTCTATTAGCGTACACACTGCTCACTCTAACCCACACTCACACACACTCACACACCTACACACACGTAGCTTGAACGTAAATGGCTTGGCTTGGCTTCGCTTGGTGCTGGTATTTCGAGGTGAAACATACGCTTGGCTTTGTTTCGTCCTTCCTTCCTTCATTTTTTTCCGTTTTGGTAACAAGATTGGCCATTTTTGGTATACATATATGTTTCGCCCCTCGCAGGAGAACTGGCAGACGTGGCTCAAGGACGAGCTGAACGCGCTGCAGCACACAAAAACAAAAAACTAATTGCCTCAGCTGCAAACGCGTTCGCCCCGCCTCAGCTTTGGTCGTGGACGTGGCTCTGCAATATCCAGACGAATCCAAGCGCTTTGGTCTTAGTTTTAGTAATTTGTTATTGTTAATATAGATATCGATCAAAGCTATGATATATCTACCATAGAGCATATCATTCAAGCGTACATATGTGCCAAAATCTTCGAGAATCGCAAAAGTTGCGCAGGCAACTCGAGCTCTTACCACAAATCACAAATATTACACCTATTTGTAGTCCTAATTTACAATACATGCACACCCACTTGCATACGTACATATATATACATATATAAAACTATTTAAATTATAACGTTGTATCTACTACTATACTATAAAATGCTACTGCTATTTCTACTATTTTTTCTATTACTCTAAGCAGCGAATCAAAAAATTATTGAAATAAATAATTAAATATTTATATATACAAATTTAATAAAAATAGCTATTATACATTTTTGGCTTTATATTTTTATTAAACAATAAAATGTATAAAATAATAAACTTAAACAAAAATGTGTTTAAATGGAAGAATTTTCAGGAATATTAAAATGAGTTCACATTGAAAATGAATATTTTCACAATGATATGACGTGATACACTTGTAATTTATTAAACTCTTAAGAGGTAAGCTAATTATATGGAACATTCCTGAATATATTACTATTATATAGTACAGTCACTATATAATGTTTGTAAACTATTCAAATAATGTATAGGTCCATCATCAACGAGGATCAAAGAAGGCAAAACTTAATGATGCTTACTAACTATTGACATTTGTCAATTGTTAATCATTCAATGCGAGCCTCAACTCTCATTTATCTTCAAGATCAGAGCCCTGACACACCGCTGCTGTTGACAGTAAAAGTATGCATCACAAATCTGCGATGTCTGATAACGTTGCATGTGCCAGCTGCTCACTTGCATTCTGCAGCTCATTCCATTTGCTGTTCTCCTGTTGATTTGGTTAAATTTATAACAACTTTCGTAATCTAGAGACGGAATTTCATTAATGATGTCACAGCTGTATTGCACAGCAATATAATAAATAACACTTCATAATGACCTGAGCAAAAAGTTAATAAGGCTGCCAACTGCATTGAGCTGGATCAACGTACAGAGTTCTTAAGAATTTGATGACTTTTGCTTCACCGATTCCTTTATATATAGAAATTTACAAATGTATATTTAAATATGTTCATTGCACTGTGCCGATGTTATCATGACGTCGTGATTCATCGCTCCGTAGGTGGAATCACTAAATTTTTATAAAATTCAGCCAATAGACCAGGCGAACAGCAATGCACGCAGGTGCTCCATAAACATGTGAATGAAACATTTCACTGGACTGAAAAGGGCAAACTAAATTTTCATTGCATACTTTTAGGCTCCACCAATAAATAATAATCGGAGCTGCAGTTGAAGTAAAGAAGTAATGACTTATAGATCTGATAAGTTTAAGTTTGGTAAATTTTGCGACTATACATTATAATTTAGAAATTTTCACTTGAATATAATATTAATTGATAATTTTTATAATTTTCTGATGTTTTATTTAGTATATTATTTGCTGCAGACTTCATGTCAACTAAAGTAAAAAAACCAGAAATAATGTTTTAAAATATTATTTAGTAGTCGGCAAGCAAAAGCTTTTCCAGAAATTGCTTTTCAAATCAGGATGAAGCGCGCTTCTCAGTAGCTGCAATTTGTTACGCGCAGAGAGAAAAATGCCGTTCCGAGTGCAACCTTCTCAGCTCTTTGCAGCGCTGCCACCCGGTTGCAAACTTGTATGCGAGCATCTGGCAAATCTGTGTAAAAGCTCGCATCGCGGAAGCTTTGCAAGCTCAACGTTCGCTGAACAAGCTTTTGCCGTTATTTTGAAGAATTTGGCTACTTCCTTTGGAGTTGCTGCCGCTGTGACCACAAAGCTCTCCGTCTGCTGAGCTCGTCGCGGTCGAGGAGCTGCACATGCAACTGCATAAATTACGTGGCCGCCCGCCCCATCGGACCAGTAAATCGCCGAGCAGTGCAGCCAAGCTCGACAAGTGCAGCACCCGAAGCAGCCGAAGGTTATTTGCGGCACCAGAGAAAATTATAATTTTCATAAATTGCCAACCAATGGCTGATCTTATCGGAGTCCATAGCCTGCGGTAGTTGTAAGGACTTGAAATGGGGGCGTCGGGCGTTGGGCGTTGGGCGTCACGCCCCGCCCAAGTGGAACAGCAACAAGTAATGGCAATTTGGCCTCAAATTAAATGTACCTTGTCGCTGTTATAGATGTTTAGCTTTTATTGTTTGTAATTGGTTGGAACACTTTACATTTACATTTATATTTAAACGCCAGAGATTGGGACGATAAACTACGACTACACACACAAACAAAAACAATTTGACAGTTTAATTGGTATTCAGTTTACAGATAACACGAATTCTGTTCTAATTGAGCTTTGAGATATCATTTAGTTATATATATGTATTGACATATACATATATAGATGTTTATATATATACTCGTATACTATATATATATATATGTATATATTAGTAGAATATAAAATATAAATAGTTAGACGTTTATCATTTAACTAATTAAGCTACGGATTTAGAACATTGAATTGGGCAAAATTTGAGTTTACAGTTGACAACAACATTTAATAAAGAACGTCAGAGCTTGAAGGGCTGCTAACTGCTAACTTGGCTACAAATAGTCAAAATCGAAATGGAATTCGCAGCTGCCTGTTGATTAAGCTTTAAATAATAGAATAATTGTTGCAATTTGGATAGTCCACTAGTCGGTCGCGGCATCAGTGATAAAGACATAATCGGCCAGGCACTTCCGAACAGCAGTTAGAACGAGGTCTTGCCAAAGATGAAGTTGCCGGGCGCGTTGGCGTCCTCGGCGGCAAAGTACTCCTTCCACAAGGCAGCGAACTGCTCGCGGGTCACGTCGGTCTGGCCCTGGGACATCTTGGCGAATGCCTCCTCGCACTCCTTCTTGTCCAGGCCGTAGCTGGAGCAGACCAGCGTGAACTCCGTCACATCGATGCCGCCGTCATGCGAAGCGTCCTCCAAGTCGAACATGAAGTTCATGTACGCGTTCTGCCAGTCCATCACGCTGCTGGGATCCTTGGCGTATGCGTCCCACATGTTGCACCACTCGTCCACGCTGACCTGCGAGGGCAGAGATAGAGAGAGAGAGAGAGGAGAGTGGGTTAAAAGCCTTCGATCTATGCGTAACGCCCCAAAAAGATGCCAAGTAGCACATTAAGCGTCTAGCCGCAGGTGGGCGTGGCAACTGCTCATAAAACATCATAATGGCCGACTGGGTGGACGGGGAGGTGCTTATGCTTACGCCGTAATTTATGCGACCTGCACATTATGCCCCACCGTTTATGAGCATTTCTTTCGGCTGGCCCCATGCGAAACAACAGCAATTACCGCAACATCAGCAATCGACGCCTTGACCAAAATCGAACACTGTGCGACGCGACGCCTTGACCCGGCCGGCTGGTGGCAAACGTTAATTTTGGTCAAAGACTCCTGGCCATAAGAGGTCGGGCCATGTTTTAATGCGGCCATAAATAAGCAAAACAGCAGACAATGTGCGGTCAGCGCTATCAATTGCAGTGCCAATTGACTTGCCCACGCCAGTGCTCGCTGCCCCACCGTAGCCACCCTCGCACCACCCTCGCACCACTAACTGCATATTTTTTATGTTTATTGCAGCCAAGTGCTGTGCGTTGCCAAATTGAAATGCCAAAAAGGCACAGCACATCCTTGACCGTGTCTCTGTCTAGCTTAAGTCATAGTTGTAGTTGCTTTGTATTCCTGGGCCTATGTGTGTGTGTGTGTGTGTCTGTGTGTGTGCAGTTGTAAAATGAGTTAGGGCAACAACAATAAATCCAAGTCTGGACAGCACAAAGCCAAAAACTGCACAAAGGCCACAAACAGTTGACTTCAGCTTATTTGCAGCAAACTTCGTCAAGTTTTTGGCTTCTAGCCAAAAACTTTGCGGCTATCTGTGTCACAATCGTAGTACGGCCGTGCGGCGCTTGAAGCACTTGTCCTTCAGGTCCTTCAGGTGCTGCTCGTGCTAGAAATTTCGCTGTGCCTCGATTAGAAACTATGGCTGGTTTACAGCCATGATTTAATTTGTGCAGACGCAGCCTGATTATGCCCTGCGAATGGATACTTTCCTGTGGCTGCACAAAGCGGTTATAAAGTTTGTCAATTGTAATGAGCAGCGGCCTAGAAAACTAACTGAAGTCGTGGCCCGGAACTGCAGCTGCATTGCTCAAATAATTCACAATTCAATTTCCGTCCATTGTTGTAGATGTGGAATTTGCTTACTGGCACACAGCCCCACAGTTCCCCAGCCAGTCAGCCACCCAGCCACGCCCAGCTCTATGCACTCCAAGCCAATAAAAAGAAAATTTATGTACTTTTTTTTTTTTTTTTGCTTCTGTGCAGCGTGCGACCGACTTTGTAATGTTTGCTGCTGCATACAAACATGCAAACATAATCGATGTGTATGTGTGTGTGTGGGGGGGCCACTTGTCAGCTGCTGTCACAATGGCATCGAGTGCAGTCCATGGATTTCAACACTTTTGTCACTGACAATAAAGCCATTCAAATGGCGAACTGAAATCCCAAAACGAAGCACTTGACATGCAGTTGCTCTTTTTTGTAGTAGTTCCACATTCACACACACACACACATCCACACGCAGTCTGACTGTCCGCTCACCTGGCCATCGTTATCCTTGTCAGCCTTCGATCGCAGACCAGTCCAAATTTCCATCATGACATCGTAAGTCTCCTTGTTCTTTGGCGTGTCCTTTGCCCAACCGCGCAGTTTGCAAACGCGCTGCAAAACAACAACAACAACAACACAGAGAAAAACCCCCGAAAAAATGTCAGCATAAATTGAGTTATCAGTTACGAGTTGAATAAACAAAAAACTGGACAAACACAAAGAGCCAAACAAACAAAATAAATAAACGTGAATTGCCAAAATCGCCAAATATAAAAAAAAAGAAAAAGAAAAAACTGTAACAAAATAGAACCAGTAAAAATACCATGGAAAATCAACATAGCGCCGAAAAGTGCCAAGCCAACTTTTCAACATGCAGATTGTTGCAGCTGCAGCTGTGCCCTTGCCGAGTGGGCATATCGATAGTGTGATGCAATATGAACTGCATGCGGAATAAGTGTGTAAATGCGTGTGCTTGACTGCCTTAAGAGTCTACCTTATAGAGTACAAAAAACTTTTTAAAGCAACGATACATTTAGATTTCAGATTATATATAGATAAAACGGCTTTACATGGAATGAAATTTTATTTTTGAATACTCTTTGTCTGTATATCTTATGAGCCGTAATGGCCAATTGAGCTAGTGCTATTCTATCATTAATATATAATTAATCAACCTATCTGATTAGTCATGTATTCCAATATTTCAGTTGTCCTTCTGAAAAGTTTTCATTAAAAAAATTCACAATAAAACATAGATATATATATATATATATATATATATTTATTGTGATGCAACAAAAATTTGGTAGTATCACAAAGGAGTTCCTGGAGTACCTCGTATGTCTTCAATAAACATTATTATAAATATTATTAAGGTTATTTTTATTAAGATATATATATATTCATTTCTATTATATCTACATTCATTATATCTGAATTTTCATTATTTTCTAAGCTGAAGCAATGTTTTGTTTCATCGACTTAGTCTATAGGACATTTTTCTGGAGTCAGCAGTATGCCTAATAGCGGTTTAATGTATGACTAAACCATGGAAGTTTGGTAAAGAATAGCACTTAATTGTTGCCAAATTTATATAGGCTTTTTAGTATAGAATAGTATAAGAATATGATTTTATGTAAGGTCATTATTATATATCAGCTATTTATATTCATGATCTATGCTCAATTTTACAGCTAGAAAACCTTTGCTAGAGTGTTTAATATTCGTTGACTGTTTGTCGGTTCTTTTGATGCAGCTGTGGGTCGATACACATGCTTAGGTTTGCATATTCATTGATAGAGGCGATTGCAATTCGGCAACATTTATTTTGGCATATTTGAACTCTCGCACTTACCTCAATGGCCATCTCGAAGTCCTTAACATCAATTTCGCCGCTTTGGTTCACATCTGTTGGCGTCGCATTGCATTATTTTGTTTTCCACATTGCAACAATGCGCATTCCGCATGAATAGCAATGTTTGGATGTTTTGTCCGGTTGTTGGTCAGTTCGGTTATTTGTCCACATGAAATAAACAACACAACAGAACGAGAGCGAGAGAGAGGGAGAGAAAGAGAGAGAATACAAAAAAGCGGAAATAAACATTAATGCAAGTTAAACGGTTTTTCGTGGCGGCGCAGCTGGCAAAAACTCGCACTTCCTGGCCACTTTGTCCGCCACGCCTGTGCGCTGTTGCCCATCCCTTGGCTGCTGGCCATTTCGGCAAGGCCATGTCATTTGCATTGGCCAGGCAACGAGCTGCAACGGTGTGCAAATTGCCACTTCTAGTTTCAGTGTCAAGCGTTTGGCGCTTGCATTTTATGGCAGCTGCAGCTGCTGCTGCATGGCAGAAGGCCAACAAGTCAGCCAAAGCCACGCTCTGCTGTTTACTACCTGACAATTACTCATAATCGAAAAGCACTCAACCCTTGCTGCAGAGCGCAACACGCGCTTCGAGAGCAACAAAATGTGTTGCCTACTTTTCTGCGCCAAGCGAAAACATGTTCAGCTCGGCTTATACATAGGCGTAAGCTGGGTAAATTGTTCAGTTAGATGCATTTTCATTGCAAGCAAATTGAATAGAAAGTTTCACAGTTAAACTTAAAACAATCTCAATCTGAAAGGCAGTGGCCAGCATCAGCCTGTCAGGGCAATATTTACACAGTTTGTGAACTTGTGTTGATTGGCAAACTGCCAGCTGGCCAGCTGGGCTGTGGTAGGTAAATGGAGTGCCCCTAATGATACAATATTTAGCCAGCTCATACAGTAAATTTCGAATGCGTGTGTGTACATACATACATACATACATGGAGCTTATGAGCTCTATCGAATGTCCGATTGCTAAGCTCTGTCTTTCAATTTGTCGGCTGGGACTGCTTTAACTTACCGAAGAAGACGTTGAACAGGAACAGCAGCTTCTTCTTGCGGAAATCGGAGATGGGCATTTTTATGTATTTTATTAGTTTTGGTTTATTTGCTTGGAGTTGGCGTTAAAGTTTCCTGTCCGTGCTGACGCTGACAGCTGCAAGCGAACGAGAAGAGAAAATTGGATAGCGAACTCGTTAAGCAAAAGTACAGTAAAGAATTGGCAAATAAAATTCACTGCAAGTAGAAAATGTCTTTAAATTTATAGAGCACTCAATTAGGGGCTGCCACGCTTAAACGGGCGTGTCAGCCAGCTAAATCTCTTGGCCCGTTGTTGTCCCATAAAACGAAAGAATGCGCTAGAGCACAAAACGGGTTGCCCCCGCCCTCCCTCTCTTTGGTTTAGATGATGCCAGCTAATTTAGCCAAAGGAAATAAAATAAGACTGTCTAAGCATGCACAAAGGATGCGCGCCATGCAAATGCGAACGCGAACGCGAACGAGAATGAGAATGCTAAAAGCTCTGCGGATTGGCGGGGCAACTGGGTCGGCGCACTGCAAGTGTGCCAGAGCTGCCTGCCATGGCTCATTTAACCTTCAATCAAAAGCAAACAGTCAACGAGGCCAGAGGTTCTTATTCGAGATGCCGTATATGGCTCTGAATATACGGCATCTCGAATAAGAACCACGGCTCAGCTGCCTCATCACACACGGCCATGGTCATTGGCAGCCTTAAACAGGCTGTTTCGCTTTTGTTTCCCCACGCCATTAATCGCCGTGTGGGTGGGCGTGAGCGTGGCCGTGGGCGTGGCTGTGTGCTTCATACAGTGAATGTTTACTTTAGTTTACGTTGGCCAAGCAACCGAATCACCTTGCACCGTCTGCTGTTTTATTTATCATGGCAGAGGCAGCGGCAGCGGCAAAGGCAAAGGCAAAGGGAAAGCCATTGGCAAAGCCAAAGCGAAGCATAATTTTGCAACAAGGAAATTGCAGCTAGGATGTCAAGTGGAAAGCGCAATGCAATGAACATGATGACAACAACGAGACAACGACAACGACAGCAACGGCAGCAGCAGCAGCAGCTGAAGCAGCGCAGCTGCAGATGAAATTCAGCTCGTCAGTTTGATGATGACGATGGCAGCGAGCTGTGGGCAATGCGAGCCAAGTTGCAGCTGGAATGTCCATAAAAACCGAAAGGACTCAAAATACTCTCCAAATATTTTCCCCTTTTATGGTGCACCTTAGAAATTAAATTAAATGGCTCATATCTCAGCGCCAGATGCGGCAATAGCAATAAAAACTACGTGAAATTTTAGTTGTCGAGTTGTCAAGGCGCTTTGTTTACAGCGCCAGGGCTAATATCAATATTTAAACTGCAGTCAAAAGCATGCTGCTCAAGAAATCTGCTGGTATTCGCAAGTGGCGCATAAATATTTAAGCCCCCCCCAAGATATTTAGCTTAATGCAAATACGTGCAGCTGGCAGAACAATAAATGTAAATGGAATAACAGTAAATTTTTGATGCTAAACGAAACTCACAACACTCATTTGCGACATAATCACATAAATGCATGTGCGAACATTTTAAGGTTTCACAGACCGTTCTATGCGATTCTCAGATAAGCAGAGATATGCAATGGCGAAATTTTACATTGTTTTTTCTGCCTCTTTAATATTATTGTTTATTATTTTAAAATATCGAAATATATGTGATTCGTAAACTAGTTAATTTGAATATTTTTATTTTATATAATTTTTTTTCTATTTTTTAAATTATTTTTTATGATCTTCACTCAATATATCTACATTTCTCTCTTTTATTCACACAAATTATTTCTTCTTTAAAGTGCATGTATTTTGCGTGGGAATATATAAAAATATATACACATGCCCTTCTATGCGATTCTCAATTTGTTACCATATCAATATCCTTGCTCTTAGCTTTGCAACACTCGGTCAAGAAAATTTATTTATTTTGTATTCCTTTTATTTCAACCAAAATCCGCTTCGACAATATGAAAACCTAATTTATTTGTATATTAAATATTTATTTATATTGTATCCCATTGTTTGCAAATCATTTCTAACATTTAAGCTAAGCCCAGATGTGAGCGAAGATTATCTTTGTAAACAAAATATTTTCAAAATTCATTTTTCATTTAGGCAATTCATTAATTCATGAGCAAAGTGATATTTAAAATGTGGCCAAATAGGTATATTAAATATTTATTCGACACACACACACACACACGTGAACATGGACAACACCTGCTTGTCAGCGCTATTTAATTGCTCACGTACAGCCAAATTATTAGGGTGTGAATAAATTGGGAAAACAAAAGTGAAATTGAATTCAGTTTGCTCAGAGCATAACGAATTAAGAAGAGCGAGTAAATGAAATTGAATTTAATACGCTTTTCGTTTTAATCTGCGACACGAAGCGAATAAACTTATTCTCCTTTTACGTTACGTTCAACATTTTTACGTTTGTCTTCTCTTTCGTTTTTTTTGCTCATTTCAGTTTTGCTTATTCATGTGGCACGCCGAGCGCGTCCTGTAAGCCATTCGAACAGTCGGAATTAAGGCAAATGTGTCACCGATGGAATTGGCTTTCATTTGCATTCCAGATGGAAATTGAAAATGAAATTTTAAGCCTTTTAATAGGCTGATGCGTGCTTTATGCACTGCTAAAATTAATAATTAAATGAGCGCACAAATTGAATTCACGCTTGCAGGTGAAACATTTGCAAATTACGCATACGCCACGTGGCGTGGTCGACAATGTGACATATGCAAATATACATAGCTATGAGTGTGTGTGTGTGCGTGTGTGTGTATGTATATTATGCATGTGAAAAATAGGCTTGTGCTCTAATTTGCTTTGTCGCTGTTACCAATTCAGCGCACTTCCGTCGCTCACTTCCAGTTCCGATTCCACCCATACAATTTGCCTCGCCCTTGCGCTTGCTCCTTCTCTTTCTACAGCCCTTGCTGCCACATAATTGTATTTATTATGTTTGGAGGCCCTCTGTGAAGTTGTGCATTAATTAACAATATCAATACTCATGCGCCAATGCATAAAAGCCACAGAATGGCTTTGCCAGTGGTTGTGGCTTTGGCTCGGGCCCAATCAATGGCCGTTGGGCCCATTAATTAGAGCCACTTTCAGTTACCAGTAACGGAAATACTGGTGCCAATTTTTGTTGTCATTTTTATGGCACTCTGCCCATTAACATTTATCATGGCTGCCATAATTATTTGGCCAAATATTAGGCCATAAACTTTTTAATCGACGTTTTGTTATGGCCTCGTGTCAACTACGTATTTGTCGCTCCAATTAAAAGCGGAGATTGAACATTAATTTCACTGTTTGCTCAATCAATTGAACTTGGCAGCATGTTTATTGAGTTGTGGCTCGCTTATATAGTTCGGAGCATTCCTTCACAGTTAATATAAATTGAGCTTTCCCAACTTGAGTTTTAAATCAGCAAAATGAAGTTTTCCACAGCTATGCTGAGTTGTTGTTGAGTTACTGAGCTGTGTAGCTCATTTATCAAGCATTGTTGAAATTTAACAGTTAAGTGAAAATAAATCGCATTTCAATGCAGTTCAATATATGTGAAGAAATTTACACTAAAATATTGATTTAGATTTGTGTAATTTATATCACTTTTATCTTCAAGAAACCAAGTTAAGTATAGTTATTGAACAACTGTTCTTAGCTTAACTTAAAGATTTCCTAAGTGAATTTTAATGTATTTCTAATGGTCTTTCTCTTCTATTTTGTTAACTGGAAGTATTCCGTTTAATCCTAGTTGAAAATCTCACTGGAATGCTTTATTTAAATTGAATGGGAAATCTCGGATTGGAAGCAATTAGGCAAGAAGAAGAAGACAGAATTGGCCTAATTTTAGATGACATAAATATATAGAAATATTTGACGAATACATATATGGAAATATATAGAAAATTGTTAACATATATGAGCATATATGAAAATATATAGATTTATGTATATAGAATGTGCAGAAAAAGGGAATAGAAATGCCTAGAAATATATCGAAATATATAAAACTATACAGAAATAAAATAATATATATATATGTAAGTATTTGGAGATCCATATAGAAATAGTTAGAGGTATACATATACACCTAAATATATATGTATAGAAATACAAAAATATATGTATAATTATATGAAGATACATATAGAAATATGTAGAGGTATATAGAAATATACACCTAAATATATTTGCTAGAACAAGTCTTACTTTTGAACAAGCAAATGATCTAAATAGCTTAAAAGTTTGCTTTAAATTCTCTATTAAATATGGTTTAAGCAATATTATCCCCTTCCGAATTCAAATTCCCACTACATCAAGAGATTATATATTTATCCCTCTTTGCATACTCTATAGATATGTCTAGCATCGTATTCAAGTAGTTGTCTCCACCTGATCGACGGCTCACTTGTGTTGCTGTTTCGGATTGTGGATTCTGTGGACTTATCTGCGGCACAGTTGCAGCGGCCGCTAATTACTTTTGCGATGCCGCAAATTTGCGCAGCCAATTTAAAATAATAGACAAAGCGACAGTCTTTTATCTCTTGATGCAGCCCATCGGTTGGGGGCAGCAGAGCAACTGCAGCTGCATTCAGCGCCTGCTGCTGCTGCTGCTGCGGCTGCTGCTGCTGCAGTTGTTACAGTTGTTGCATTGTGTGGCCCGCAGTAATTTCGTGTAATTTGCATTAATTTACATTTAATTTAGTGGACAATAACAGAGCACCAGATGGCCAGACAGAAAGAACGAGAACGAGATGGGAGAGTGAGAGGGAGAGGGAGAGAGGCATAGAGAGAGAGAGAGAAAAAGATTGACAGCTCGTGGCGCTGGTTTAGGCCTGCGGCGCACAGAATATTTAGCCAAGAAAAATGCGGCAGGACGAGGATCCTTGAGCGCACGTACAATGGTATGCTCTTCCTCTTGTTCACTTTTATTTTGTCCTGTTTTGAAAACTTTTCGAGAGAAAAACTTTGGTCGTCAACACTCTGAATGAATTCATTACAAAAGCAGCGTTTCTTGCACTTGTCAAGTTTCCTGCTCTCGCAGTGATAAGTTGGTCGGGGCGGGGCGGGCCAGCCAGGTGGGCTGCAGGCTCCTTGCGAAATTTGACAGAGCCTACTTGACTGGTCTCCAACTGGGTTGGCCATGTTATTCATCCTTGTTTCGCCTGTTCTTTTCAAGAACTTGTGCTCGTTACTTTCGGTTTGTTCTTGTTCTTTTGTCGGTTTTTGAAATACGTTTTCGAAATGGTTTCATTATTTGTGTAACGGAAACTCTTAACACAAATACACTCACACGCACACACACTCACACACACACAGAGGCATGAACTGCGACAGCGTTTGTTATTGTTTCACTTTACCGTTGGTTAGCTCTGATTCTGATTCTGATTCCGACTCTGACTCTGACTCTGACTCTGGCTGTGGCTGCGGCTTCGGCTGCGGCTGCGGCTGCTTGTGTGGGTTTCTATGTGGCCTGCACTCCGGGCTTGACTGCTCGGCAACGCGCTTGAATGTTTTGTGATGTTCGCTCGTGCCGAGCCAACGGCTTTTATAAGCAACCAAGCGCCAGCAACAGCCAGTCCCTCCATGGCGACTGCGACGTCGACGCCAACGCCATTGCCTCGTTGCAGAGCTTCGGCATCCCTCGGCATCGCGTCGTCGTCGTCGTGGCTCGCTTTGGGTGCTTTTTGTCATCGCACGTATTATCTTATCGCTTCGTCGTCGTCGTCTGCGTCTGCGTCGCTGCCGCTGTCGACGCTGCGCTGCACTTGACGCTGCTGACTGCAATGATATATGTGCATGTGTTTCTCTGCATCTGTGTGTGTGTGTGTGTGTGTGTGTGTGTGTGTCTGCAGTCTATTTTTCGACTACCACGTGCAACATTACAGGACAGCATGCGGCATTTTTGGTGTCTGCCCAAATGTTGAAGGCTTAAACTTCTTGCACAAAATTGCTAATTCAATTATGATTTCATTTTTGTTGTTGCCCGCCGCACATCAATCGATGCAATTTAGATTAAAGCGTTCAGTTAAATAACCTTGATTATTGCATTCGATTTCAATTTGTTTAAGCCAAACGTAATTAAAAGACAACAAACGTACGAGCTGTTGAGAGAGAGAGAGAGAGAGAGAGAGAGGGGGGGGATAGAGAGAGAGAGAGTTTAATCTTATCGCAGCAGTGTTTGATTGGCCACACAGCTGATTTGAGGGATTCGATAAAACTATTTGACTTGCATATGATTCTTTTATTATTATACGAAAATGGATTTAGCTGCTGCAAAATATTATCAAGATTCAGCTTAAGCAGGTTACGTGAAATGTGTTTCAACTTGAGTAACTTTTTATTTATATAAACAATTTTCTTTGAATATTTTCAGTTGAAAAGTTTTTCATTGCATATTTTATGGCTGCTTTTCGCGCAGTGCTGGGTCATAAATACAACAAATCACAAATGTGCAAAGCCTTGACTCACAATCACACACACACACACACTTACACACACACACATGGAACTGCAGTTGTGCCACTTGGCAGCATAATTAAAGTGGTGGCTCATTCGCATTCGATCATATCCAAATGTGGACCACCAGCCGGCTGCAGCGGCAGTCAAAGACATTTAAGCCAAACAATTTCATGTCTGCTTTTCTTGCTTTTAATTATACGAGCCACACACACACACACACGCACACACTTACACTCACACACATAAAGTAGATGAGCTCATGTAAGCGCTGGTAATTGTCAACTCTTGCTGAAATGTCGCTGCCAATTTATCAGCTTGAAAAACTGGCCAACAGAATAGAGCGCCCGCTGTGCTGTCACAGCAGGCCTCCCAAAAAAAAAAAGAGAGAAGAAGAAGAGAAAAGGCAAAAAACAAAACAATACGAGCATTGCACAGGCTGCGCCATTTTCTTGTTCCATTGCCAAAACGTTCGCTGCGGCTGTTGCAGTCTATTGCGGATGACCGTATTACCAATGTTTCGCCAGTTTCCATTTCGTTCCACTGCGAGCTACGGCTGCATTTGCTCTGTAGGTGTGTGTCTCTCTGTGTGCGTGTGTGTGTGTGCGCCGGTGCGTGTTGGAGTAGACAAATGTTTAAATTTGTGGCCCTTTTACCTGTTTGCATCTCAAGTGGCTATATGAGTGCTGCTGCCTCTTCGGCAGGAGACGGCAGGCGGCAGGCAGCAGGCAGCAGGCAGGAGACGGCAGGTGACTGCTGCCTTGGCAGAAAGGAAACGGATGTCGACATTGACACACTTTCAGATTAACATGGCTCGTGCTGAGCCACAGATCTCCGCCCACACACCCAACCCTCCGCCCCCAGTGCCAGTCCCAGTCCCAGGCCACATGTTAAATGGTCGCATAGTTTTTGCCTTCGTGCTGCTTGTTTTTGTCAGCGTTTAGCTGTCCACCTATTTCATGTTGTTGTTGCTTCGCTGTTGCTTCGAGCATAAATGTGCGGCCACTAAACGTTGGCCCCAAAAAAAAAGTGAAAGAAAAAGAAGACAGCGCACATTCCGCTTGGGGGTCTCCATGACTGAAGCAGGTGTATTTGTGCATGTGTTTGTGTGTGTGTGTGGGGACATGCATGGGTGCTTGGCACGGCAACGGCACGTTATTTGCTGGCAATCCGCACCTGTACACACTTTTCTCATGCTGTTGCTGCCGCCGTTGCTGTTGCTGTTGCCGTTGCTGCTGCTGTTGCTGTTGCTGTTGCACGCTTTTGTGCGGCCTTCTGTGCCAGCCACACGCTCGCTTTTGCCGCTCGGCAATGGCAACTTGATTAGACCAACATGAAATTAAGTAATTTCGCCGTATTGTTTAGTGCTGCTCCTTCAGAGGCAACAGCAACAGCAGCAGCAACAACAGCAACAGCAGCCCCAACAATGGAAACAAGGAAACTAAACAATAACAAGCGCCGGCCAAAAGAGCTGTACAAAAGAATAGACCAAGGCCAGAGCGACTATAATGAACGACTCTTGCAGTTGGCCAACATCAAATGATAGAGGGGCAGTTTGGCAGGAGATCTTCGACATCTGGATGAAGCTACAAACTCGTAATATCCTTGAAAGCTTTTTAAATCACCTCAAAGATGTTCTACAAATTGTTTTATTTCACTTTAACTCACTTTAATAAAACAAAGAATTTCATTAAATATTTTAAATAAATATTAATACTCAACTGTTGTTCAGTTGGCATATTCACATATACATCCTTAACAATGCATTTTGCAAAATAAAAAAAATATATATTTAACTCGGCTTTAACGGAAGTATCCAAATGCATTTGCTAGTAATTTGGCGCAAATCTGATTAAGAAACCCGTCGCTGCCCGTAAACCATTTAGCCGGCACTCGAATTACAAATTCCGTTCGTACGAATGTATGCGCCATGCTCCCGCACGGATGAGGTGGCCAGGGGAGAGCGAGTGAGCGGAGCTGCTCACTTAATGTGGCATGCCACGCTCTCTGTACGTGTGTGTGTGTGTGTGTGCGTGTTTAGCTCGAGTCAGGTACGGCAGCGGTTGCAATGCTGCCAAATGCACTGCACGCCAGAGCATGCCCGACGCAGTGCTTCCAGCTATTGGCGAGGACGAGGACGAGGACGAGCCGCGGTGCTTCGGTGGCATCCTTTTGGCGCGGAATTGAATCAGCTGTCCCTAAAAGTATGCAAGCTCGTCATGCACCGCTGCAGCGCTGGGGCGCTGAAATGGGGGCGTGGCGTGCCGCTTCGCATCGCGCTTGTGTTTGTGTAATTTACTGTTATTTTTTAAGCACTTTTCTTTTATGCGCTCACGCCAGCAGCAACAACAACAACAACTGAAAGCTGAACATACCAAACCCTAACCCACACCCCGAACCCAAGCCGAGCGCAAGAGCAAGAGCTGACAGATAGTAGAGCAAACAATTGTATTGTTTGTTTCATTTCGAAGATTTTTTGTTTGCTTGCATGAAGGTATGTGTGTGTGTGTGTGTGTGTGTGTTTTTTGGGAAGTATACCCTTACGTGTGTGTGTGTCTGTGTGCAATGGAAATATAAAGACAAAGGAAAAATTGTTATAAGAAATTTAGTTTGTGTTTTTACTTAAGCATTTCCACGGAGCTTAGTGCTGTGAGCCCAAATAAATTTGTTTCCGCATGCGAGGCAAGTTGGTGGCTTTGCTTTTTACACGTCTATGCATACTTAATTGGCCTGGCGCAAATGAAGTCCTCGATCCTTCATTAATCAGTCGAAAAACATCAATCACTTTCCTTGGAAAAACTATAGCCATAGAGCCAACCTGTTAAAGCTGAACCAGTGCAACAAGGCCAAGGTTGAAATCGCAGTTAACTGTTTATAGAATCGGCAGAATCATGAAATAACTAACTTTGGTTAAAATCTCTATTCTTGTCTCTCAAATAAAACAATATTTAATGTATACTAATAACTATGAATGATGAATTAAAAATGATAAAATTATAAATAATGAAAAATTACTAATAAGCAATAATGATGAATTAAAAGCGATACAAAATTATTAGTAATAAATTAAAAATATTTGTGGTATATTTTCATCTCATGATTTACCAATTTTATATATTTTTTTTAATGTTAATATTTATTTAATAAATATTTGTGCATGTATTTTTTTACGATAGTTAAATTTGTTAGTCTTTTTTTTTATTCATAACTCCATTAAAAACAAAAATCTTGCAATTTACAATGTTAGAATATTTAATTATTAAAATGTGCAAAATATTATTAAAATAAGATACATTTAATCTTAATATATATATTTATCTTAATTTATGCTATATAAGCTTTGGCTGCAACATATACCATTGCTCTCATTTCCAATTCAAAAACTCTATAAATAGCACACCAAAAATAATCACTATGGTTCATAATAAAATTCTCTCTTACTTTAGGGTATTTCATAGTCAACCTGCTGTCGAAGATCCTTGCCTGCATCGTTAAATCACGTGAGAAATTACACATGTCCTGCAATGTATTCAGCATGACATTGCCACAGTCACTCAATGTGAGCTGTTTTATATGTATGCGTGTGTATGTATATGTATTTGCATGAGTGTATTTGTGACTTTTGGTCTTGTTTCAGCGAGTTGTGCTCGGGTAGATTTATGCTTGGGCAAAATAAATTTGGCTCGTGTCGCTTTAGCAAGCCAAATTGATGAGCCGGGATTTGTGCTGGCTGCCGACATTGCACTTAAATTAATTTTTTCATTTGATCCATGCGCTTGTGTAATTATTTCGTGTGCTTGCGAGGGCCATTCGGATTGCTAAACTACCAGCACCCTCAGATCCGACGGATGTGCAGTGCACAAAACTTGCATAACTTTTTGGCACAATAAACGAATTTGTAATTTGCAGCCATTGCAGCCGCAACAAACCGGCCAGCAGCCACGCCCACACACCCACTCACACATCCGCCCTCGAAGCACGCTCGGAACTGACCTTCACTGGCAAAACATAACGTTGGCATCCAAAAATGCAAACGAAACTCTAATCCCATCTAGGCCAATCGATTCCAGATCGAAGCAGATAATACTCTAAATATATTTTCTACTTGTATATCTCTACTTCTCTTTCATATAGGTATTTTCTCTTAAATATTGAGTTTTTACCTTTAGTCTAACTTACCAGAGTTTCTCTCTTTACCCTTTCAATAAGTTGTTACCAATTCGATTCAATTGGCCATGTGCACTGGCGACAAGGTAGTGTATTGGCCAGCTTAGGCTATTTGTTAGATAGAGGCCAGGCATGCAACACATATGCAAAATAAATATTAGACTTACGGATGGCATCATAACAATTATTGCGCCGCCGCCCCCATTTCGCTGCAGGCCAATGCAGATGCAGATGCGGGCGGCCGAAATGACAGCGGAAGCCCAAAAATTTACATTGATTTTGGCAACCGCCACGACAACGGAAGCCATGAAAAAGCCAACATCAGCAGCCGGCTATAGGCTGTTGGCTGTTGGCTACTTGGCTCTGGCTGTTTGGCTGTTGTCAGTCGGCAATGGCCCAAATGAGTGTGCCTGGGTCAGGCCGGACGGCTTGGCAGGCTAATTTATCTATTGGCCGACCCCGTTGGGTCAGAACGCAGTCGACGGGGTCTAAGTAAGCTATTGTGGGGTCTAGGCTAAGGTTATGACATGCAAAAAACCATGTGTACATGTGTTGCTTGAACAAAGACAACACACACACACACACACACTCACACACACAGACACATGCCAACGAAGCTCTCTGCTGGTGCTTTGCAATTGCCGCATTTGTATCTTACAGATACAGATATGTAGTGCGGCAGTTTTTGCAAATGCTTCGCTGATAAGCAGCGCCAAGACCAAATGTTTGCCAAGAACCTAAAAAAAAGGAAGGCGAGTAAGCCAGCTGATAACACGCCCCGGCCTGCTTATCAAACAAAGACGTCAGCGAGCGCGTCAGCTGTCCCCAGCTGTCGTCATCGAATCCGCATTGGCCACACAACCACAAAGCCCAGGCGATTTGTCATTTCGCAAGAGAAAAACAAACCCTCAAAAATTATCCATTTGCAATTCTATTTAATTTCGAGCTGACATTCGAGTGGCCTTCGGTCGAATTGCTCGAATTTAGCTAAGTCGAATCAAGTGCAATTCATATGCAATTTGTAATTATGCATCTGCTTGACTCGACTTGACTTGACATCTGGGCAGCCATCCAGTTTGCATACACTGAACGAAAATCCAAGTTGGAGTGTAAAAAAGTAAAGTAATTTTATTTTATATATATAGTTTATATTTTATTGTTAATTAATTTATAGAAAAAAAAACATAGGCAATGCAATTAAATATTTTAATATAGCTTTATTATCTTTATTTATAATTAACTAATGTTGACGTTTCCGACTCCATTCACAATATTTACACTGGGCGTCATTAGATTCGCGCTCGTCTTTACATACTTCCGTCATGCTCCATATTATCTCAGTTATTTATGAGATATAGTTCTACAACCTGAAGCGATTACACTTTTATTAAATATTTTTAAAATTAAGTAATAATGAACCGCAATACCTTACTAAAATATTTAAAATAATTGAAAGTAGAAAAAGCAAAAAAAAAAAAATATATATATATATTTTACAAATATTTTGTATATAAATATGAATATTAATAATATAGTTAATATAACGTATATGTAATTGTAGCCCCATTGCACCTATTGTATTAAGTGTTAGCAAAAATGAGTATAGTAATATATGTATATAAATATATGCTGATTGTGACAGATATGTAGTTGTACAACTTAATATATATAAATGTATATATAGATTATATACAACTTATTATACATATATACATACGAAAGAATTTATCTATATCCATTAAACAGTTTATATTTATCAAATCTTTTAATTTTAATTTTTGTAATATATTATATTATATTTCGTATATATTTATTATGATTTTATACATATTGTATTATATTCTATATATTTTATTATTAATTATTAATTATTTATTAATATGTACATTTAAATATATTTATACCTTCAACACCTCTAATATGACGTATATTGTATTTCCATTGAAAATCGGTAATTAAATTGTTAAAATGTATGTAACAGGCAAAAAGGAGGCGGGGCAGACCCTATGAACTATTGCTATTATTATTATTTCATTTTTTTTAAGTACTTGGTATAAGATGTTGTTTTAAATAAAGTAATTGAAGCTTGTTCTCAAATTTAATATTTGTTTGATATTATATGTATATATGAACATATGCCTGTGCTCTTTAATCTATACGATAAATATAGCAGCAGCTGATGAGATTACGTCTCTAAGAAGTTGCATAACTCTTTTCATTAAATTCATTAAATGGCCCTGAAAGTTGTTTAAACAGTTTCTGCTATTTAAATGTTTACATCTTATATTTGGGCTTCATCTTGATGCGTTGCTTCTTTCTTCGCTTTATGTACTTAAGCTCTTACTTGTGGGGCAATTTCGTTTATCAGGCGCGTGGCGTGCGAATTTGTTTCTTCACTTTTTTTGTGTTTTTTGTTTTGTTTTGCCTGCACTGCGGCAAACAAAAGACAGCGCAGCGCAGCACAAGCAAACAGCAGCAGCAACAGCAGCAGCAGCAGCAACAATAATGCTGCTGAGAGTGCTTCATGACATAATTTAGCCACTTAATTTTGAGTCGACTTTGATTAGACAATCGCAGCAGGGGCGGGGGCACACAGCTGAAGCATCACCTGTGGCTGTCGCTCTTTGGCACAGCGTCGCGATTTGTCAGCGTCTTTACTACTCCGGGCGGGTTCAAACGAGTTCGAAGCATTTAAAGCGTCACTGAAAGGAAACAAAAAGCAAAAGTGCTCACAAGCACACACACACACAGACATAGATATGTGTGTAGGGTGTAGTGGGTACACATAAATGCATAAATGCAGTTGCATTGCTGAGCAATTTCCCATGCCACAATGTGGCAACCACAAGTTTTGCGCCACATAAAACAAGCAAGAAACTACAAAAAAAGCGGAGTAAGAGTGCTCGAATCGAGTCCACCCGACTAGCAGCTGAACTGCAGGCAATTGTCACATAAATTCTCTAAATTGTCCACATACCAATATAATAAAATAAACTTGACTAGAGTTCAACATTCAACTCTAACTCAAGATTTTAGTAGGGTATATGGCTTGACTTAAGAGCTGCATCTCAATATTGAGAACTTCTTTCGATTCAGTTGATTGAATAGATAGAGCTGGACTCGCATAAATGTGTTGGCAAGAGTTGAAAGATATACTTTGGATAGACAAAGGAATCCCCTCATTTAGATCTATTTATATAGTGAAGTAGCTCAACTCTATCAGCTCTACCAGATGTGACTCTCGAATAAATCTCAATGGTTTCTCTTATCAAACCACAAGCTAATATACCCCTTTGCATGGATTTTCGATGGATGCGAGTGTAAAAGTTGAAGTAGCATATAAAAATAAACAACAGCCACTACAATTTCCAGGCAATTTGGCTAAAGCTAATTGCTGTTAATAAAAACAGTTCACGTTGTCGATATGAATATCGGAACTGCTGTTGCTGCTGTTGTTGGTGTTGCTGTTGCTGCTGCTCTTGCAATTGCTGTTGTTGCTGTGATGTAAATTTACTTGGGTGGGCATTAGCTGCAGTGCCTGAGCCCAGCTGTGGACACGCGATATGAGGCAAAGCCAAGTCGATTGCTAAGCAAATCCTCACAGCTCAAGTATCAGTTGCCGTCTGGCCAAAGCGAATATTTTCACCAGGCTGCAAAATAAATTAGCTAAAATGCAGCCTTGGAATACCAAAAGCCAAAGTCAAATGCATCGCGTTTCGGTTAACTGATGTTTGCGGCCAGTTGTAGCCAAACACGCGTTAGCCTGGCTTAAACAAATGCGACTCTAGACGGGTATAAACTTTATATGTTAAGCAAATCATAGAAATTATAGACAAATTTGTTGGCGGCCAGATTTGGCTGGAATGCAACGAAGCTGCAATACGCTTGACACGAGACTCGAGCTTCTAAATTGCATTTTAATCAAGACTTTGCGACTTGTAAAATAAAGTAAAAACAAAGTAAATGCAATTTGTTCGCATGTTAATTAAAATTGCGCCAAATATGAATTTTAGCATATTTTCAAATGTATTTATATGCAAATGCCGCGTATTTGCTTTTTGTTTTATACACTTTTATCAATTTCTGCATTTAGCTCGCAGTCAAATAAACTTCCTCTTTTTTTTTAAGCGCAGCTGCTGCAAACTGTAAAATGTTATTTTTTTTTTTAGTTGCAAATTGTGCACAAACATTTTTGTAAGCCAAACAAAATATTTCGCGCCGGTCTGCGCGCGGCGCATGTGGCATGCAACGGCGTGGGGCACTGGCAATCCCCCCATTGCCACGGCCACTGTCAGCGGCAACTGCGGCTGCGGCAACTTGGAGATACAGGAAACACGACGACAGCAGCAACAAAGCGACAGAGATAGCAACTTTTATTCGTGAGCGCCAGCAAATAGTATAACCTAAACAGCAGCAGCAGCAGCAGCAGCAGCAGCAACAACAACAACATCTGGCTAACCACTTGAAGCACTTTCGTTTTCATGTGAGGCAACGTCGGCAAAGACTTTGCGCATGGAAAGCGCCCGCTGCCATTTGGTAATGTAATGCGCGCATCTCAAAGATACGCTTCGATATTAACTGATGTTGCTGCTGCTGTTGCTGCTGCCGTTGCTGCTGCTGCTGCTGTTGGCTGGTGCGTGGCATGCAAATGCGAAACGACGCGTCGACGCCGCTGCCTAATGTCGATCAGCTGTCGACGCTCGTTTCGCTATTTTTGTCCGATTTTGTCGGGTTTAAGAAACTCTCTCGCGCAGCATCCGTTGCCGATCAGCTGGCCACATGTTGCCACTATGATGCAATTGCAATTGCAATTGAATAACAGCAAAGTGAAATTGCAGCCCAATGCACCGCTGCTCAGCTGTGGTGGACTGCGCTGCATTCAAGGTCTCGAACCACGATTTCACCCAACGCCAACGCAAAGATTTACGTGCTCATTTGGTTTAGCTTGACTAATTTGGCTGATGCTGCTGCTGCTGCTGTTGATGTTGCTGCTGTTAATGTTGCTGCTGTTGCTGCTGTCGAGTCCATGTAACCCGCAACGCTTCCGTTGATTGTCGTCGCACGTTGTTTGCGTAAAATTTCATTTGATTTAAGTTTTTGTTTTTCTGTTTTTCTTCTGTTGCATTAAATTTATCAAATATTTTTGAGAAAGTTCACTTGAGTTGGTCGCGGCATGAACTTTAAGCCGTTCACAATCTGCGCCGATTGTGCAAGCTATTTTTGGCTTTGTGATTAACGTTCGTTTTTGGTCGACAGCAACAAACAAATAATAAACAAACAAACAGGCAAACACATCAACAAATTGCTGGACCTCAAGGCGCCTCTTAATTGTGCAGCAGCAGCAGCAGCAACTGCAACAGCCATGGGCAACAGCAATGACAACGCCCACAACAACAAATTGACAAGCCGGCAGCTCAGCGGCGACTTAACTTGGCTTAAATGATCAATTGGCTGCGTAAACAGGCCGTTGCTGTTGCTGCTGTCGTTGCATTAACAACTTCCCCATTGCACAGTGCCCACTGGCTGTGTGTGTTGTGACTGCTGTGGCAGCAGCAACATGACTTATGAGTTTGTGCATCAACGCGGAATTCAAGAAAGGTGCGCGGCTCCGGGTTACAGCCCGGCCGGACGTACCCAGCCTGCAGAGTCAGCTGCTGCTGCTGCTGCTGTTGCCATCGTTGTTGTTGTTGTTGGTGTGTATGTAATGAAAACGAAAGTAACCCGCACCAACACTCAACTGCACTTACATACACTCGCTCACTCAGTCGCATTCACTCACTCTGCATTTGTTGGACGACCACCATTCCCGCTTATCCATCACGTAATCTGCGGCAGCTGGCTAATGTTCAATTCTCGGCGATATCGGCGATATAGATTTAGCGAATGGATTACTTAAATGTCGGCAATTAACATGCCTCAGTCTCAGCCTCAGTCTGCTAAATGACCTGCCAAGAATGCCTCTGCTCTGGCCGTACTAGACGTATACGTAACGCTGGCATATTCCACCTGCAGCAGCTCACCTTAGCTAGGCGCATTGACCCATCGCATCAATTATTCACAATCAGCAATATTATTAACCAGAACAATTAGTTAGTCGCATTCGCAGTTCGTGTTCACTTCAACTAGTATGTTTGCAAATGAGCTGGGCTGATTTATGGGAGCGTATAAATTTGCGCTTAATAATATTGTTATTGAATGATAAATTCTTGAGTGCTTTACATATGCTTGCTCACTTGCTTTGTTTATAGTTAGATAACGATTCAATGATATATCGAACACGATCGATAATCCAGATTAAGCGGATGCTAACTAAATCAGCGTTTGATATATTTTGACATCTTTGCAGCACTCGCTGAGGCTGTTCGTGCGGGCAGCCGTTGGTGTCGCTGATAAATAAGATTTGCATGCGATTAAATAAAGCTGACATTAAACGCTTTTCACGGCATTCCTCTAATTATAGTAATAGATCAAATTGTATATAATTGCTGTTGGCGGCTGCCCGCTTAGCATAATTGAAATGCTGAATCGAACGGAAATGCGCGGCTCGATCTCGAATGGTTTCATTGAGCCCGGCTTAAGTCGTTTGCTGGTGAATGATTTGATCTGCTCAAGTTGGCCGAACTTACCCTTTTCTTCAAATCAAAGCGAGCCTCATCAATGTGGAAGTTGTTGTTTGTAGTTGTTGTCTGTTGTTGTTGTTGTTGTTGTTGTTGTCTGTTAGCTGCTCTTTTGCCCGCCTCTCGCGCTGTCTTTTCACTTTCGTTGGCATCGCTTTGTTATTATTATTATTGCTGCTGCCGCTGCTGCTGCCTCTGTTGTTGTTGTTGCTGTTGTTGCTTGCGAGGCATGCAACACTATCCACAGTCAAATGTCGACGCCAACTGCGCAGCATCGCTGTAACCGAAACGGTAAATGTTTGTTGGCAAACCCCAACAGCGCCAGTTGCATTTTGGCGCTCGTCGCAAACGATTCGCATGAGCCGCATTAGCCCAACTACAAAGCTGAACAACGAGCAACGACAACAACAACAACAACATCGAGTCTCCCAAGCAGAGCAAAGCGACGCATGCGCCGCTGTCGAAAACAAAGAGCCGTTCATACACTCCGCCCCAGGCCCCGCAGCAGCATCGACATTATATAACCCTGGGCACGGGCCCCTAGTTTCAAGTTTGAAGTTTGAAGTTTTCAGTTTTCAGTTAGTGCTGGAAATAGAGTTGAACTTTGCTCGATTCTGGTGTTGCGCACATTTTGCGGCCACGCCCACCGCTGGCTAATTAATGCGCCGCGCGTAAAAAGAAAAGTCAAGTTTGGGGCTGGGAAAGATCTCGTAAATTATAATATTTATGGCCTGAAAAGGCCTTTGAGATGCGAACGCGTGTTATTAAATACAAAAATAATCCAAAGTAACCAGAGTTTAGTTCGCCAGCTCATTTGACTGCTGCAAGCGTGAAAGTGAAAAGCAACCGTAACCGTAACAATAGTCGACATCAGCAGCAGCAGCAGCAGCAGCAGCAGGATACCGCTACTGGCATCTGTCATCTGACATCTGCTGGCTCTGGCTCTATCTTTGACTCTGGGTCTGGCTCTGGGTCTCGGTCTAGGTCAGTCATGCGCGCGATCGGCCGCTGGCGAGCAGCGACAACATGATGAAGCTATTGTCACCCCATCATCATCATCATCAGCAGCAGCAACGGCAGCGACAACAACAGCAGCTGGCTCTGGCCTTGCGCTGGCTCTGCCTGCTGCTGCTGGTGCACAACGCCGCACAGTTTGAGACAGGTGAGTGTTGACTCAACGTGTTCGACGAGCTGCGATTAGCATCTTGAGTGCTCCACAGACTGCGGCTGCCAGCCGCGAGGACGCGAGGCACGCATTATTGCTGGCGCCAGCACGCAGGAGGGCCAGTTTCCGTGGCAGGCATCGCTGGAGCTGCTGCATCCCTCGCTGGGCTTCCTGGGCCATTGGTGCGGTGCTGTGCTCATCCATCAGTATTGGATACTCTCTGCTGCCCACTGTGTGCACAAGTAAGTGTGAAGTGCCCCCGATCGAATTGATGAACGTAGCTCACTCTTCTCCTTCTCCTTCTCCTGCTTTCTGCAGCGATCTCTTTAATCTGCCCATTCCGCCACTGTGGACGGTGGTGCTGGGCGAGCACGATCGCAACGTGGAATCGGGCAACGAGCAGCGCATTCCCGTGGAGAAAATTGTGCTGCATCATCACTACCACAACTTCCGGCACGACGTGGTGCTCATGAAGCTCTCCAAGCCGGCGGATCTCTCCCGCACCTCCTACATACGACGCATTTGCTTGCCCTTCATGCTGCGCGAGCGGCCAGTCCAGGAGGCGACAGAGTCAGAATCAGATGATGACATGCTCAGCCAACAGCTCGAGCTGGACGACGTGCCCGAGAAGATCGACAATTTCCTGCGCAGTGCGCAGAGTCGTAGGCGCTACCGCAACGTGACTGCGCCCAGCTCCATCAACATGTCCATGCGCGAGCTGATGAATATGAAGATTCTGAATCGCTTGCGTAATTCGCTGCGGCAGTCGCAGCGCTCCCCGCGCAGCCTCAAGCGCACGCGACGGCGCAACGACAAGCTGATGAAGCTGCAGCTCGAGTCGGAGCAGGAGACGCAGTTCGCCAGGGGCCAGGACCCGGACGAGCTGCCCTTCATGGACTGCGTGGCCACCGGCTGGGGCAAGGCGAACATCAGCGGCGACCTGTCCAGCCAGCTGCTCAAGACACAGGTGCCACTGCATCAGAATCGCAGGTGAGTTGTATATCCCGGTCTGCAATACAGAACTGCCATTACGACCCTCGTACACCCCTGTTGCAGATGCATAGACGCCTACGGTAGCTTTGTGAATATTCACGGCGGACACTTGTGCGCCGGCCAGCTGAACGGAGAGGGCGGCACCTGTGTGGGCGACTCCGGCGGACCGCTGCAGTGCCGGCTGTCGCACGACGGACCCTGGATACTGGCCGGCGTCACCTCGTTCGGTTCGGGTTGTGCCCTGGAGAACTTTCCGGATGTCTATCTGCGCATCTCGTATTACCTAAACTGGATTGAGGACACGATTGCCTCACATTAAGGCCACAGTCCGTCCAGCGCTACTCTCAAATCAAATGTGAAACGATACACGATAGTCGATAGTCGATGGTCGATAGTCGATAGTCGATAGTTGTTAGTTGTTAATTGTTAATCGCTTATCGTTAGTTGTTTACAGTTATCATGCTGCGTATATTTATCGAGTGCAAACTTAGCTGTACATTGCATGCGACTACGAATCTGAATTACCGTTAACCTTAATTTTTACATAAGCATAAAATGTTCCCTAAGTTGTTTCCGTTGAGCAGAATATAATCCACACCAAATCTCCTTATTAGCACTTAGTATCTTAGTATCACAGAGTCTGGACAGAGTCGGATCTCTGTCCGTTGCGGATTGAGGTAATTGTCCCATTTTGTTTTTTTTTTTTTTGTAAATTTTGCGTCACCCTTTCACACCTCAAGCCTGTACGCATCGTCATTGGGCAGTAGCTTCTGTGCCTCCGGCGGAACGCACTCCGGCGAGGCGGCCTTGTGCAGGGACGTGGCCAAGGTGAGGTTGCCCAAAACGTTGATCGACTTCTCGCCAAGCTCCGCCTTGTGCAGACCAGCCGGCGGCGACCAGAAGCACAGCAGAAACGCGGCAATCAGCTGATAGAGCCCGCCCAGCAGGAGGCTCGCCACGATGACGAGCTGCAGTATTGGCAGTGCATACTTCAGCGCATGCGTCAGCAGCTGCAGGCTCACGGGCAGGTTCTCAATGGTGAGATCCACCCAGAGCAGGGGCAGCACTAGATTCTCGAAGGGCTCCATCAAACGATTAAATTTGATATTTCCCACCACCTGGTTGGCCTGCAGGCGCACATGGACGTGCAGGGGTACGCCCAGTTGCTGTAGAGATTGGCTAAGTGAGCTTCGTAGAAAGCAAGGAAAGCGTATTCCTCTGCACTTACCGGCTGCAGCATGACAGTGGATGTAAAGCGCGACTCGTCGGGATTGAGGCCTTCGAAGGCTCTCAGCAAGGTGGGATCGGCATGCATAAAGTGCGGATAGGTAATAGCCAAGGGCATATCTGGAAAGGAGAGAGAGAGAGAGAGAGTTATATATATATTCATAGATTTTAGGGTTCCGGTTCGCTTACTGTAGTAGCAGGGCGAGACATTGCCCACGCCCCGCTTGAGGCACTGGTTGTTCTTGCAGAAGCACGAGGAGTTTGGGCTGTGCAGCTCGCTGTCGAAGATTTTGGGGTCCATGACGTACTCGTAGGCATCGAGGCCCTTGAAGGTCAGCGTGCGATTGAATCTCATGGGCAGAAGCCGGCAGAAGGTACGTCGATACATGTAGAACGTGTCGTGCTCGTTCATGTCGCGTGGAAAGAGCGTCGCATCGTGGCTTCCCCAAATGCGGTTGCAGTGAGTGCCGCTGCAAGAAGAAGAAGAAGAGGCAAGGGATTAACACCAACAGTGGCAGCAGCTGTCAATGACTTACTTGGTGGCCTCATCGTACTCCCAGCGCTTGAATCCGCGCTCGTAGTTGACGCTGTTCAGGGAGTAGGCGCGCGGTGCGCCGGGCAGCTTGACTCCGTGCCTGTCCTTGGGCTCCACCAAATGCATATTGACCACGTTGCTCTCGTTGCCCTCGCGGAACAGCTGGACGTTAAATGAAGCAGAGATTTAGCTGAATATAACAGAAACTAGCTATGGGCTCACCTTCTCCATGATGCCGAAGCTGGAGAAGTCAATCAGGCTGGGCACAAACTTGGAGGCCAGGTGCACCAGGTGATCCTCGTAGCCCCACATGTAGTCGTGAACGGTGACCTCCAGCATGGGCTGTGCGTTGAGTCGCTTGGCCAGCGCACTTAGCCCGAGGGCTGCGAACATGGAGAGGCTGGCCGCCTGCGTGCTGACGCCCATGTAGGGTATATTGGGCGCCCGGATGCGGTCGACTTTCGGATCGCCCACCGAACGCTCCGGCACGAAAATGTATTCACGCCGTGGCGTGTAGGTGATGGTGTTATTGTGATAGTTCAAGGTTACGTTGTGGTTGGAGAGGACCTCCTGGTAGACGTAGGGCCCCACCTCCTCCACCTTCAGCTTGGCATCGGTGCCATCTATGAACGCATCCACGTTCGTGTAGTTGAACATGTAGACCGTGATGTAGACGTCCAACGGTGGAAAGAGCCACAGCTTGTAGAGCAGTGTGCTGGGGCCCAAGCTGATTTGCTAACCGAGGGAAGATCAGTTAGAATGCGGTGAGGATAAAGAGCGCCTTGTTGCAGTGCTTACCCAATCCCCGATCAGTTTGCTGGGGTTTGTCATAAAGATGGCCGCTCCAAAGAAAATCAGCGTCATGCCGATTGCAGCGCAACGCAAAAGCTCTGCGAAATAAATTAGAGTACGAGGTGAGTTATGCAATTAGCTCAATTCCAGTAGCAGTCGCAGTCGCAGTAGCAATCGCAATCGCAATCGCAGTCGCAATCGCAGTCGCATTGCGCGTGTTGCAAGCAGTCGAAGTTCAACAAGTTTGCTAAATCGCTGACAGATTGCGGATCGCGTGCGACTGCCTGGCATGCGAATGACCTTCGCGATTCTTTATTGCTGTCGACCGCAGTGCGGTGCAAAGATCTGCGACCTACCTCAATGGCAGGAGCAGGAATCGCCACTGGGCCAAAAGCAAAAAACCAAAAAAATAAAAATAAAATATATAAAAGCGTAAGTAAAACAAACAAAATTGAAAACAATAGGCTGTCTCCGAGCAGACACAATGGAGTTCAATAAACGATCAACGGCACTGGGCCAACAATTCACGAGCTTCCCGAATCATAAACATGTTACGTCACTGCCCTTGCCCAGAGCCCCTCACAGTGCCAAGTCCGGTTTAGGTTCTTTTCCTGGGCTGTCTGACTGTCTGACTGTGAGAGCTGCGTATTCTGAGCTGACCTCGCCTGGCAGTTGCAACAGGGCACTTGATAAGAATTGTGCATACATACATACGTACATACACATGGATGCATATTAAATTTAAACCACTTAAATTAGTGAAAAGTAAAAATAATAAGCACTCGCCGCATGCGAGCATTCTTAAGGCTTAATTATATATTGAAAACTTGTTTTCGTCTCAGTTTGGAAATACACACACTATACAAGATGCTCACCTTCCGCCGTGACTGTTATCATTGAGGCTGTGTCGGTTTAATAGCGGATGTGCTCTGATCTTCAACTGATTACAAACCTGACCGATTTTGAAGATCATGGCCGAGCAAGCCCCACCTGCGACGCGAGTCATAAATCAAGCGCCGCCCATTTGTCCCAGAAATCTTTTAGCGAAATCCCACGCAATTCGCTAAGACAAGCAATAAATGGCATAGCCGCAAGTACTTGACAATTCGATATAAAACAAACATTAAAATATCTCATTGCAAGAACCCGCTCAGATCAATGAACCAAGCTCAGCTAGCTCAGCCAGCCCCCCCAGCTACGAGCTTAGCTCAGATCTGACAAAACACCATAAATTCATTAATAGTTTTGTCGCATTTTTTCTCTCTTTCTATATCTGTTTTCTGCTTCTGCTTCGGTTTCGGTTTCGGCTTTAAGTCAGCTTTGTCACGCCATTAGCGCAAATAAGTTCAAGATTTCAAAATCAAAACAAAAACGCAAAACGGCCATCCATGATAACAAATGCCAGCCTATATATGTACGTACGTATGGCTGTCTGTAGATATGCCCGAGTGTGTATCCTTCCCTTGAATCGCATAGCTGCATTAACACACACCTGGCCAAAAGCGTTGGCCAGCCAGACGGCGATAGAAGACAAGCCATAAATTAGGCGCCAAACAAAGCGTTCAAATTATTCTGCTGCAACCAATCTCTCATGGGAAAGACAACAAGAAAATATCAACCAAACATACATACACTTCGATCGGCATGCGACAGCGGACGCTGTGGCAAATTATGCAACTGCATTGCCAAAGTTGCGAACGCTACTGAAGCCCATAAGCTAAAAAGCCAAAAAGACGCCGTCCGAGTGAGCGTGAGTGAGCGGCGTTTGTCTACGGCGACAGCTGATTGGAGCTGAGCTCTGAACCCGTTTTAGTGTTTGGGGCGCAAAGCATGAGCAACAGCCGCAACCGAAGCAGCAGCAGAGGCGGCTAGTCGATATGCAAGCTACAGATACATTTGTATCTCACAATTATGAGGTTGTTCGGCTGACGGCTCTCTGCAGCGGTTTGAAGTTCAAGTTCGCTGCAATTTGGCATACCATTCAGATTGAACAACAACAGCATCAAAAAAACAGGTGCTCACTGTCTGCGATGTTTTGATCTCTCAGCCGCGAGCAATGACGCGACGCTGCTGACCCACTAAAAGTCAAGAATGAATTGTTTTTGTATCTATGAAACAATCTATACGTGAATAATTCCAAACACCTTCGAAAATGACTTTGTCCGCATGTCTCTGTCTATGTGTTAGTGTGTGTGTGTGTGTGTGTCACTTCCGTCAAATGACAATAAATTAGACATGTATGTGTATTAGCCAACATCTACAAGACTCGTGCTCGTGCCTACGTCTGTAACTACAAGATACGCTCGCACAGCATTTGAAGTTGTTTGGACGCCGTTTGTTTGCCGGTTTGTTGATCGCTGTTTGTCTAATGAATAATCATAGCATATAGTCGACTGTTAATCATCGCCTAAAAACTGAGAGCGAGCAGTGTAAATGGGGAGGAAAAAAAAAACCCTTAAATAGTCACGCCACGTCAGCAATTAGATAATTAGACAGCGTGACAATAAGGAAATGCAAACAGGCTCTCGCTCTCCTACGTCAGAATCAGGCCGCAGTCGCCCAGGGAGAAGCGCCCCATTGAGCGGCAACCCAGTGAACAGTTCCGATCGGCAACTGGCTTTGAAATGGATAGCTTTTGTATATTGTAGATATTGTATATTTTTTTTCTGTATTTTCTATCTATTGTTGATTTTGGCTTTACAAATCTGTCGTTATTTACATTGTTTAGCACACGTTAAGTTGTGCATTATATGTAGCTATTTTCTAAGAGTGACGATTCTAAAAATCGCTAAGGAATTCAGCAAATATTATACTTTGCCAAATATTCTGGCTGGGAACAATATGGCACCCATTGACACTTCAGAGGAAAGCAAAAGTTATTCTGCCGGAAAACATGTTTTCACACATCTCGAGACTCAAGTCAATTGGGTGACTCAATTGGCAAAGAGTTTGCCTCTTAACAAGTGTGTGTGTGTGTGCGTGTGTCTGTTTTTTTCCCAATTTATATCTGTATCTTTGGCCCAATCTCACCCAATTCATCTTTGAGGCCAATGCTGGACATTGCTTAAGGTTCGCCTTCAATTTCAAAGCGTTTCGTTTCGCTTGTTCGAAGCGTCATCAAATCCGGACTTCATGGTAAGGTAGTACGTGACGTTACAGTCTGAGTCGCGTCAGCTTCAGACCTTAATTTATGCAAGCTTAATTACAATTGAGTTCCGTTAATACACGTACATCTGTGTTAGTGAGTCTAAACTTTGGAATTAGTTTATTTTCAATGACTTTGTCAAAACGATCTTATGATAACTATGACAGCAATTACTAACGAATTAAGGCAAGTACAGTCGCAGATCAATTGGGCCTGGCCATTGCCCGCTTTTCTCAATAACAATTTATGTAAATTATTTGCTTGGCATTTGTATTTTTTACTTTAATTCGCTTACTAAAGCAACTTAAACAAATACAATTTGCACATTTTGTACGACATTCAAAACTATTTCAATGCTTTTTTATGTATGACAATAAATCCAATTATACATAGTATAGCTTATTTTTATTTGCTCCAAGTTAAACCGCATAGCAGAAAAATTAACAAAATGAGCGAAACATAAAAACATCACAATAGATGAATTTATAATAAAAAAATATTAGTAAAAATTCTTTATGTCTGACTTTGATTTAAATATTTATATATACATTTTTTCACACTGATTTTTTTTTTATAAAATATTTCTAATTTTTTTTATATACATAAAAACATGTTTTTATTTGTTTTATGGTTTGTTAAAAAAAACACATATGCTGCCAGTGTAGTTAAAAAAATTACCTAATACCAATTATTAAGGAATAAACGTTCAAGTAATAATTATTTTCACTCTCTGGGCTAAATTTACATTTTTTTAGTTGCATCCCCAATATTATGTCAGACTCTCAAAGCTGGGCAAATGTCTAGCGCTTTGTTTACATTTGACTAGTGTGAGAATTTCCCGAAGATCTACATATTATTAATTGGTTGACTTATAAGCTTAAAATAATTATTTATCATGCGATATCGAGTGCTGTGAGTGTTAATATCAAATAACAATGTATTAATATGTGCTTTTTACCGAGTACTCGTGAAATCTGAAGCCAAGCGTACTAAACTAATTATCTGGGCTTACAGGTTATTAATTTGTATTCGTTTTCTAAACGTAATGCATCCTAGTACAGTAAAGAATTTATTGATGTGTGAAGTAACGGAAATAAAAAATGAAATTAATCAGCTTAATCAGCCTGATAGATTAGACTGCTAGATTAGTCTTTAGCTCTCTATTTATAGCTTAAACAAGAAGTCTAAAATATCATTGTTGACAGTTCTAGTTAAGGTTACCAACGAGTAGAGTGGAGAATCATATAAGACATTCACTCAGATCTCCTTAGAACTATATACTAGAGGCATCATGCTGAGCTCGCGTGTGACACTTGTGGAGATCTAAGTATTGCATTCATAAAACATGAATTAGCTGAGCAAAAAACAAACAATACAATAGACACTGTATATATAATATATGACTTATAACTATGTACCCAACTTAACTGGCAAGGTATTTGTCGGCTATTTTAGCCGAACCCGCCTTTAGCTCTATGACCTTACAGCCCAGCTCTTGACAGTTGCGCAAATCTGAGTCAGTCAATATGACTGTATTCAAGTTGTATCACTAAAAGACAAAATATTGTTGCTCTAGCTCTTCAGCAAGATTTCATAAAACTTGAAATCGCAGAGATTGAAATATTTCAAATGCAATTATATTTCAATTAACAGTTAAGTAGAATGTTATTTTATTTAGATTTTGTAAACAAAACAGATAAATCAATTATTCTCAATTAGCTCAAGTTAAAGCAAAAATATATTAATTTACCATAAATTATTGAAACCTGATCGATTAATTTATTATGCAATTATTTCTATTAACTATGCTATCATTTTTTTCCCGTTTAAGATAAGATATTTTTCAGACTAAATAAGCTCTTGATTAGAAGAGAAGGTAATGCGATTTTCCAACATGCAAATCTGAGAGTCGAATCAACATCAATTTCGTGTTAACAAATTGAAATGGCTAAATGGCTAAATGGCCTTACAGCTTCTAAGCCATGAGTGTGCTGCAGCAGAGCCGCAAATATGCTGTCGGGCCAAGTAAGTCTTGCATACTTTTGACGTGATTTGCATGCAGGCAACCGTCAAGCTTTCGACATACTCCCAAATCCTGCTTAATTACATTGAAAGAGCTAGGTTGCAAAATGCATTCGGCAACCAGTTTTGCGAGTGCTAAAGATTTTTATGTTTCTCGGCGAGCTGATCGGGAGTTAGCCTTTACCTGAACTCTTTTATGGGCGCTTTTTGGACGTGATGAAGGTGGCAAAGAAACGGTATAACTTAATTAAGATCAGACCTCAATTTAATTTACTCACTTGCATTGCGCTGGGTTTTGTTTGTGAACAGTTTCATTTTTTGTTGAGAGCCGCTTTTATGGTCTCAGCGCGATTTTCGCAACGATCTCAGCTATTTGAAGTCGTGTGTGGCAATCAATTAACAGATATTTATATTTGCCTGTTTTATGATGAAAATCAATTACAGCCGCAGTTCATGAATATACATATACATATATATCTGTGTGTGTATATAGAAAAGGAATATCCACATATATCGACTATAATGCAGGCAAACAAAACGATTTACAACAACAAGTTCAAAGTATATGAGCTCTGATTAATTTGCATCGATCGTTTGGCGGGTAATTGGAGTTAATAATTCATGCATATATTTTTATTGTTTATAAATATGTTTCTATTTGTATTGGTATTATTCACGTTTCTATTGGATTAATGCACAGAACATTTCGAGGAATTTAACTAATTATTTTGTATTTGAGTTGTTGCACTTGTCGATCAATTTATTTTATTTTATTTTATTTATTTAATTTAGTTGTTGTTAGTATATTGAAATCGACTGACACGCACTTCCTATTCTCACGATATTTGACAACTTAATGCGCTGAGCTGAACGGCAGTGAGTACCTTTATATGGACTCTTGGGCCGGGCAGCTGAGCTCCGACTGAGACGCTAACAGCGACCCAGCTCAGACTCAGATCGAAACGTAGACTCAGCTGCGATCAAGCATCTAGCGTCAAAGCGCGAAAATCTTTTCATGAACCGGTCCACTTTCAAGCCTCGGCTGACGACGGCGGCGACGGCGGCGACGGTGCTGTCGACGTCAACGTCGAAGCCGATGTCGATGCCGATGTCGATGCCGATGCCGATGCCGACGCTTGCGATCCCTGGGTGTCAGCAACAACACAAGCATAACTGGCAACGTTTAATATACGCCAAGTACTTGCAACTAAGTAGTTTGTTTCAAATAATCCCCGAGTGCTATTTGCTCCAAAGTTTCCAGAACGATGAGTTAATCGACACTGGGGACGACTATATGGCTCGTCGGGGGTTACTAAAGTTCGTTAATACTTTTAATTGTTGTTGCTGTTGCTGATGTTGTTGCTGTTACTATATAATAACGATTGTGCTTGTGGTGCGCCATTTTAAAGATCACTTAACGTTGCTTTACATTTAATAACACAAATGACTCTATTTAATCCCTAATAAGCACGCACACGTGCTCCGTCCCCAGAGGAAATGTTTATTCATGAGGCGCTCGCATTTAGAGCCAATTTCTGACAGCGCACAGCAGCCTCTAGATCAGCTAGTTAATAGTCAATAACTATTAAGTAGCAATGCGGATAATGATCGCTCGATCTGATCGATTTAGATCGTGTCTATTGGGCCCAGTCACGTTTTCGCCGCAACCGCCAGCACTCGACGGACGGTTCTAAAAGCATCTGTCCATTAGATCCTATGTTTATTATTGTCTCGACTTAGAAGAGGGCGGTCCATTAGGCCTTAAGCGACCCGCGCTTCAGCTGAACTCAAACTCAACTGTTGTTTCACGTCAAGATCGCATGTCTCTAATTTCAAAACATCTACTTAATTATTATTGCGTACATTAGCGCGTAACTTAAATTCGCTTTGCTTAGTATTATTTTATTTTCTTGTCTTGTTCTCTGACTTTTTATTACAATTGTCTTGTGTTCTGGCGTTAAATGTCGACTGGAATATTTTTGGAGCTCAGATTCTCGAGAAATTTCGCTCGGGCTAAGTGTACGGCCAATGGGTTCCACTAAATAGTAGTTGTCATGCCTAAAAACCGTTTATTATTGTTTATAGCGATTACCCCATAATTATTGCATATTAACAACGCCATAAAATACGAAAGTGCTTAAAAAAGCTCAGTCCAGCCAAAAGACTCTTCACAGCACGCGTTGAGCTTTGAGCTTGGGGCCCAGGATATGTGTGCTTTGTTGCCATACTTGTATAGGAGAAAGCTCAACGCCATTAGAGCTTTTACGCGTGAACAGATTATTAAGCTTTCTCCACACAAATACACATACATTCACATAAATCGACAGCATGCCCAATCCTTTTATATCTTAACACAGAAAGGCATTAAGCAAAAACAATTCTGGAAAAGAAAAATTATTTTCGCTTTTATTGAATTTAAATTTGAGAAGATATGGAAAAGTTTCTAGAAAAATTTCTAATAATTTTTGTGTGTTTATTTTTAGATTTAAATAATATTTTCCCCTCTTTATTTGCATATATTAACAGCTCGTAAACCTTTGAAAATTTAATTACTGAGCTAAAGACTAAAGTCTTATCTTTTCGCAAATTTAACGCTGCAAGGTCAAATGGAAATGATGTCAAATGCTTTAAATATATATATAGAGGAATATATATCATAAGACATGTGAGAGTACTCTATTTGGGGGTACTCTAAGTCTCGGCTATACCTTGAACATTGCCCGAACGGATGTTTCAGAAAACTGTTTTGTTTCTATCAAATGGAAAGTTCTTAGCACTATAAACTCTTTTAAATATACAGTATACAAATGATGAGTAAATTAATATATAATCGACTCTTTATTTTTGTTAGGGAATATACTTATCTATACGGAATCAGCCATGGCAGCTGCTGCCTGTGCTGTATATTTGTGGCTTTTATCTTCATATGAGCTGACAAGTATTGTCAATACTTTTTATTATACTTACCGTATTTCACATTTTTCGGCAAAAATAGCTAGCTGGAAAACTAGTTGTAAATTCTATTTAAGTGAGTTTAATAGTTTTCAAGCAATCGGCAACAATGTATTCGCAGTGAGCTTTTAATTATCCCCTAAGCTTTTCACAGCATCAATTAAATAAATTATAGAACAAACAAGGAATTTTTATTCAAATTTAATATATTTAAATTGTAAAACTCTGACCTTAATTGATAATTGATTTATGAGAACTTAGAATAGTATTTTTTTTTTCTCTGTTTAATAATATATTGCCTGAGTGCAGTGCTGTAGCTTTAATCAAATTTTCAACAGGTAATATACGTAATTTGTTTCTGCTATACAATAAAAATATGTATGCGAAGAGATCGAGCTG